GCGGGCGAGCGGCCGCGAGCTGCCCCCGTCCGCCCCTCTCCACCGCCAGGCCGGCCCTCGCCACCGCCGCCACCTTCCTTGTTGCCCTTGGGGCAGGGGACCCCCCAGGCAAGCAGAGGGGGCAGGCCCCGGGGGGGCAAAGAGGGGTGCCTCCCCCGCCTCTTCTGGCAGCTCCTTCTGCCTTCTGCCTGGGGGGACCACGAGGACGCCGCCGGCTTCTGGTCCTCAGCCCCCCGCGCTCTTCCTTCCCATTCCCCGCGCCAGCTGGGGCTGGGCAGGGGCTGGGCAGGGGGGCGACTCTGCCAGCCAGGACTGCCAGTCAGCGGGTCGTTTACCTGGAAGGCCCTCCCGCACTCCTGGGTCAAAGGCCGGGGAGGGGAAAGCAGGGAGCCTCGTGCTGGGCTGACCGGGGCCGCACCCACAGCCCCCTCCACCTGGCCAGAGGAGCGGGGGTGGGGTGGGTCCACCCGTGGGTACACGCCGGCCGGCGGGCCACAGGGGGGGGTGGATGTTCCCTTGGCCTGGGTCGTGCTCAGAGGACTAAGACACAGACACACACACACACACACACACACACAGACACACACTGTGGATGGGACTGGAGGGGAGAGGCCGAATGGCAAGACCACTCCTTCCCACCCAGACCCCATATGTGTGTGTGTGTGTTGAGCCTCAGCCCCTTTTCTCAACGGCTGAAGCCCCTTCCCCTCCCTCCCCCCAACCCCCTCCACTGCCCACATGGATCTTATGCCCTCAGGGCAGCCCAGGGGTCCAGCCACCCCTTCCCCTTCCCCCTCCACTTGGCCTTCCTGTCCCTGCACGGCCTCCCCACCCACCCGCCACAGGGGGGGGCACTGCTTGCATCCCTCAAAGCTCTGCCCCAGGAAGAGCCCACTGGGGGGGGGGCTATGCCTGTTTCTGCTCTGGGGCCTGAAGGACTGTGGTGGTGACGGTCACCTCACTGACCATTACCCGCCCAGCCGTGTGTCCTTCCTGCTCCTGAGGAGAGAAGAGGTCATGCATGGAAGGCCCCGGGGTCCCGGGCAAGCCGAAGAGCGCAGCGGGCGCTTCGGGGTGCAGGAATCCCAGGGCCTGTGGGACGTTCGGTGTGCTCCTCGTCTTGTGCGCTTCTGTGACGAGGGCCGTGAGGATGGCGACCATCTCCTGGCCGCTGAGCAGGCCGGTCATGTACCTGGTCAGCAGCTCCTGCCTCTTGGCTTCAGGGATGGAAGCGGAAAAGAGCAGGTCCCACATGCAGACCCGCTGGCCGTGGAACTCGCCCACGGGGAAGTCGAAGGTCGGGGGCCTCTCCCAGGCTGTCTCGCGGGGCTTCTCCCTCCGGCAGGAGGTGCTCGCGTGCCTCCCTCCCGCGGCTTTTTCCTCTCCCAACTTGGTGACGATGGCAGTCGCCACCGTCGCCACTTGGTCCGCGGTGAGGATCCCGATTCGGTACAGCTTCAGGACCTCTTTCCGCTTCTTCTCTGGGAAGTACTTGGAATGCAGCAGGTCCCACACCGAGACCTTCCGCCCACGGTACTTGCCCACGGGCACCTCAACCATCCTGGTCTTCAAGACCTCATCCTTCGCTTTGTCTTCGTCATCGTCCTTGTCATCGTCGCTAGCACTAGCGCCCTCCTTCTCTTCCTCCTCCTCCTCCTCCTCCTGGTTTTCCTCAAGTGATGCTGCGAGAGGGCTGGGCCTACCTTGCCCTGTGGGACGCCTGCTGCTTCCGGCCGGGGTTTGCTCCAGAGAGTAGAAAAGGTCGTGCAGGGAAGCCAGGATGGTGAGCATGGAGGCCAGCTCCTCCACCGTGTACCTGCCCTCCCTGTACTTCCTCAGGAGTTCTTCCCCTTTGTCTCTGGTGATGTACTGGGAGAAGAGGAGGTCCCACACAGACAGCTGCTGGCCCTGGAACTCTCCTGCCGGCAGGGTGACCCTTTTGGCCTTCAGGAGCTCGTCCGAGCAGTGGGGGGTCAGTGAGGCGTCGGCAGCTCTGGCCTCCTTCGTGGTCCGTGGGGCCTCCGGGCTCCGGCGCGGCTTCATCCTCACCAGGAAGGACTTCCGTCCGGCTTCCACTTTTTCCCAGGTGCCGCCAACAGCGGCTGCCATTTGCCCAGGGCTGAGTACTCCTGTTTTGTAGAGCTCCAGCAGCTGCTGCCTTTTCCCCCTAGGGAAATGTTTAGAAAAGAGGAGGTCTGGCACGGGGACATTTTGCCCTTTGAGCTCCCCAGACCTCACGGGGACGTGTATCTTCTGCAAGGACAGCTCCAGCTGCGCTTCCCTCCTGTTCTCTTCCTCCGGGTCCCTGCCGGTTCCGCGGCCCAAACCTTTGGCTCTCCCCTCCTCCTCTGTTTTGGCCACAATGGCCGTGACCACGGTCTCCATCTGGTCGAGGGTGAGTATGCCTTCCCTGTAGAGTTTCAGGAGTTCTTTCCTCTTCCCTTTCGGGATGCACTTGGAATGGAGCACCTCCCAGACGGAGACCTTTTGTCCACGAAACTCACCAGCGGAAACGTGGACCATCCTGGACTTGAGGGGGTTCTCCGTCAGTTCCCGCTCGGATGAGGGTTGGCTTCTGTCCCCCTCTCGCAAAGTCATTCCGTGAATGGGCCTTTCCTCGTATCCCTCTGTTTCGGTGATGATGCTGGTAAGGATCTGGATGACCTCCTGGGCGGTGAGGGTGCCCGCTTTGTACTGTCTCAGGAGCTCCTGCCTCTTCGAGTGAGGGACGTAACTGGAGAAGAGGAGGTCCCAGGCAGAGACCTCTTGGCCCTGGAAGATCCCCACGTGGACTTGGGTGGTGGCAGACTTTAAGCACTCCCGCAAGCTCTCGTCCAGATGCACAGACCCCTTGTCCACCACCTGAAACAGCAGCAGGCCGGTGTCAGGATCCAAGACACACCTGGGGAGGAGCTGCAGGTATGTGAGGTTCTCACGGGCATTCGGGTCAAAGCATCTCTTGGTGTGGTTGGCCGGGTCTGAGATCCAGTGGAAGAGCTCTGCATCCAAGTAGCCCCACTTGTAGGCTACTTCCGGGGGGAGTCGGTGGCTGTGCATGGGGTGGATGAGTCCCCCCGTGGCCACCTGTGCCTCCAGCAGGCGGATGCCGTGGTCTTTGATGATGAGGCCCTTCCTCATGGCCTGGAAGAGGGAGATCTTGTTCCCCGAGAAGGGGTCTGTGTAGCCGGTCACGGCCTTCTCCGCGATGAGGAGCGTGTTGAGATGTTCTCGGTCCAGCAGGCCAGCGTTCTTGGCATCCCTCACGGAGAGCATCCGGTTGCTTGCCAGGTCCATGATGTAGCCCGAGGCGGCCTGGTGTTCCAGGAGAGCCAAGCCTGTCCCGTGAGTCAGGAGGCCCCTCTGCATGGCCTGCCGGATGCTCAGCTTCTCCTGGCCGGGCTCCTTCAAGACGCCCGCAATGACCTGCTCCTGGCTCCGTTCCGCTGCCGGCGCGAAAGGCCAGTGGGCTTCCTCACGGACCTGCATGATGGGGGCTTCCTCGGGGCCTCCTGCAGCAAAGGGATGGTCATGCGGCATGGCTGAGGTGGAAAGGCCTCCTCTCAGTTGGTGGATCGCACTGGGCTGGCAAATGACTTTCTGAAGGGAGGGAGGGAGAAAGAGAGAGAGAGAGAGACCGCTGTAAGGGATGAGCCCAGCCGGCAATGCTTACTCATGGGGAGAGAGAGAGAGCAGGTGCCCCTTCCCATCTGGACACACAGGGGCTCCCCTATACTCTTGGGCTGTGGAAAGCCACCTCCTTCCTCCACACAGCCCTTCCTGGGTGCCGTCTGTGGCCTCAGCCAGGGACTGTGCCCGCCTGGGTCCCTTTTAAAAGTCCGGGAGGGCCGAGTGGGACCCGCGAAGATTCCCTGAGCCTGGAAAGCTGTCCTGGAGGGGCTTCCCCGTCTTTGGAAGACAGCACCCTTCTTTCTGGAGGCAAGTGAAGCTGAGCTGCTGGCCCCAAGGCGGGGGGGGGGAGGAGGAGGAGGAGGAGGAGGAAGAGGAAGGCTCTCTGTTTACCACCATAGACCTGCCTGGCTGCTTGTGCGCACGTGAGCCCTTTTATTGCCCCCAGCTGGGAAACCTGTTTGCACTCAGCCAGCCAAACACCTCTCGGTAGGTAGACTCACTCCTTGTTATTATTTTTCTCACCCTAATTGCTACCTTGTGGGCTATGACTGGCTTGGTCGAGGCGAAGGCTTTGCCCAAATGGGAGTCCGGGCTGCTTCTCCGGTGAGGTGGTGCCCCAAGGAGAGCTCACGGGAGGCCAGCTGGATGAGGCCACCTCAGAGAGAAGGCAACCCCAATGGTTGCCCCCTCCCTCTCCCTCTCCCAGGGCCCAGTCCAAGCCATTAGAAGGCAACATGGGAGGCACCGGCTGCCCAGAGCAGAGCGAGAGGCACGGGGGGGGGGGGCGCGCATGCGCAGAAACTCCTCCTTGGACAGAAGGAAGGCCCTGGAGCAAGCGTCTCCCCCCCCTGCCATTGCCATCAAAAACATCAATGGGGGTGCAAGGCTTCACCCTCTGGCGTTAGTTGAAAGTGCAAAACCTCCCAGGCATGCGCGTGCGTATACACACACACACACACAGAGGTGCCCTGCTTGTGGGCTGCCTAGGGTCATCCAGCTGGCCCACTGCAAAAGAAGGCAGAGTCCAGGGGAGACCCAGACTCCCTGCCTGGATCTCCTCTGGCCTCAGGCTTCTCTTACGTGACCCAAGCAGGTGAATCAGGGAATGCCAAGGCAGCAACGCGCCAAGAAGAGATGACACCCCTCCTCTCCTTTCCCCCCTTCCCGGCACAGTTTGGCTTCCAGGGCTATGGAGCCCTGGGTCAGTTCGTTTCCGCGTCAGCCGGAGCATCGGATGCCTGGACTGCCCTCCCTCCGGTCTTCACTCATCTCCAGGTGCAGAGCCTTCTGGCCATGGAAGACCTGGTGGCCAGCCCCAGCCACTGCTCTCTCTCTCTCTCTCTCTCTCTCTCTCTCGGGGGCAGAGGCTGATTCCATGCAGCCTGGAGTGGACACCTGGGTCCACCTTCTGCCAAGGGCTATGGGCACATGCACATACACATGCACGCATGAGCGCACAGGCACACGTCTCTCCTGGAAATTCCCAAGCCTCATCCCGTTTCGCCTCCTGCTGTTTGGCTGGGCTGTTGTGGATGGATTTGTGGCCAGGGATGTTTTAGGAGAGAGAGAAGCAGGAAAGGGACAGGGTGGCTGGAGGGCTGAGGGCTACTCACGGGGAAGACGGCCAGGTGCCTGCAAGGGGGGCGGCGGGAGAGGCCACCTGACAGAGCAGAGCACCTGCCTGGGAAACGACCTGTCAGGAGCCCTGCAGGGCAGAGCCTGCTTGGGGGGGGGGTCCAATCCCACTTGGGCCTCTCGGGGGCCCTTTTCACCAGCTGACCCTTTGGCGGCTTTTGGACCAGTGGGGCTGCCAGCACTGGTGGTGGTGGTGGGCTAATGTCGGTGAGAGGGCATGGAGGCCCAGAGGCTGCCCAGCTGAGCCTTGGGGAGGCAGGGGGGGCTTTGCTTGGCCCCCGGGGGTCAGGGGCGACTGCTGCTGCTGGCAGAGGCTCCTCAGGGTGCCAGGCTCACCACAGCCCCCCCCACCAGTTCCTCTCCTGTGCTAGGCATCGGTGGAGCCAGGAAGAGGGCTCATGAGGGCCCAAACCGCCAAACTGGGCCTGACCACCTGGACCATGCTGCCCCCCTCCCGCCTCCCCTGCCCTCCGGCCGCCCTGCGTGGTCTTTGCTCCCAGAGGGGCCACACGGGTCCCCTCCTCCTGGTCTCCCACCTGCCTTTTGCATCCAGGCGTAGGAGAGGACTCTGGACTGGCAAATACGCAGGTTCTTCTTTCCAGCAGCGATGATGAAACACCCAGAAGGGACCTGCTCCCGGGGATCCTCCCCACCTCTGAGGTGTCACTGCCTGAAGGAAGGGGGCCAGCTAGGGCAGGGGGTGGGGAAGCAGGGGTTGCCTTGCCACCAGGACTATGGGTGGGCGAGTAGCAGATGGGGGGGGGAGAGAGATGCTTCCCACTCCCTGCCCATGAACCCTGAGACCTTTCCTTCTCCAGCCCTGAAAGAAGGAGCCGGTTTTGTCCACACTACAAGACAGTCTGGAAGGGTTTTCAAGCTGACAGGCTTGACCGGCTGGCCGGCTCAGAGAGCGAGGGAGCAACACTCTCCCCACTGCGGCCCACAGGTTACTGAGCCCGTGGGCCTTCAGCTGGCCCCCAAGACCTGGGCAGGTACTTCGTGTGCCCCGCCCACCCGCCCGCCCCCACACAAGGGAGGTGGCAGAGGGTGGGCTATCATCACCCAGGGAGAGACCTGCCTGCTGGGGCACCTGGCGGTGCCCATGGTAGGCCCTGCCCGGTGCTTGCTCACTCGCTCTCTTCCTGTGTGCATGTGTGGACGGTACTCCTGCGCCTGCCGCACAGGTCCCTCTCTTGGGCCACCTCCCACCCCAGCCCCCCAGCCCCCATTCCCTACCTGCAGGTTGAGGGTGAAGTCCTGGGTCTGGTCAGGTGGCTCTGCTCTGCTGCTGCTGCTGTCTCTGACTGCCCAGCCCGAAGGCTGCCACCTGGCTTTAAGCCTTCTCCTCCCCACCTGCCTGGAGAGAGAGAGAGAGAGAGATGACACACCAGCCCAGCCCAGCCCAGCCCAGCTCTCTGGCAGTGGCCGGACGGACGGATGCATCAGAAGGCAGTGGCCCTTCCCTATTGCATCCTTCCTCTCTCTCTCTCTCTCTCTCTCTGCCTTTGGGCTATTCCAGACAAAGCCGAAGAGCTACCATCTCTCTTGGTCACTTGGACTTCCCGGATTGCACAGGGATGGGAGGCTCACCAGGACGTGCAGTCAGACCAGTTTTTTAAACCTGTTGCCTGTAAACAGGACTGGCCTCCTGGGGCCAGAACCAGGGGAATTCCACTCCGATGGAGTGGTGGGAGAGGGAGAACAGGCCAAAGAAAATATCCAGCGTGTGGGTAGCCTGTGAAACTCCTTGCCACAGGACGTGGTGAGGGCATCTGGCCTAGAGGCCTTTCAAAGCGGATTGAAAAGATTCCTGGAAAAAAAGTCTCATTGCAGGTGACGAGCCATTTTCCAGCATCTTAAAAGGAAGGGACCTCCAAATGCTAGAGGCAGGGGAGGGGGATCACGAGACAGGTCTCTCGTGGTCTCATGGACTGCCCAAGGCATCTGGTGGGGGCCATGGTGAGAGACAGCGAGCTGGACCAGAGGAACCCTCAGCCTGATCCAGCAGGGCGCTGCTTCTTATGTTATGCTCTTATGACCCAGCACTATCCTCAATGCCTTTTGCTGTCCAAGGGTGTGTGTGTGTGTGTGTGTGTGAAAGTCACTTAAGGCCTCACCCTCTCCAGGAGGCATGCATCCCTCCTTCCCCTCTCTCCCTGTGCTGGGGGTGGGGGTGACACACACACACACACACACACACACACACACACACACACACACACACACGGTTCTTGCAATGTGATGGACTGAGAGGCGCTGCCTTCTCTCCTCAAGTACAGCTGGAACATTGGTCCATGTATCCCATCATGTCTGCTGTGTTCCAGTCAACAGATGTGTGCAGCACACAAGAACCAGAATGCACATCCCCTCGCCAAAAGAGAGGGAGAGGGAGGGACCCAAGGCCACCCTAGCGCCTGTGTTGGTGGAAAGGAGCGGGCCTTGTCCATGATTCTGCTCCCTGGCTCTGAAAACGCAAGGGAATCTTGTGCATGTGCAGAGTGCCTTTCTCTTCCACCTCCTGGAGAGAGTTCAGTGGTCCATGTTACTTGCCCCCATTCAGGCCCTTACTTACTTATCTGTTTATTGATTTTAAATATGTTTACCCTGCCTTTCTCCTTAAAAGGACCCAGATGGTTCTAGAATCATGGCGTAGGATGGGGGGGCCTGACCCCTCCCTGCTCAAGGGAGGGAGGAGGTCAGGGTGCAGAACAGAGGGGTTCCTTTCTGCAGGAAGCCCTTTGTGTGGTGGAGGGAGAGGGTACATGGGGGGGAGGGAGAACCCACTGGCTGTTCCTCCCCCCCTCCCTCTAGTCCAGGGGTGCAAGAATCCTCTTCCCCTCTTGCATCAAGGGAGAGATTGGGCCAGAGCAGCCCAGAGAGAAAGGCATGGGCCGAAGCAGGACTTCTAAGAGGGCGCAAGCATGAAACTGTCGCCCGCCCTGAAAGGATCAAAGGGGTTCCATCCTTCGCTTCCGTCACCAGCCCAACGGGAGGCAGCCCCCAGAAGAGGCCACGGGAGGGCCCACGGTCCCGTGGTTTTCTCAGGGAATGGGAGGGGGACCCTGTTCAGACACTAACACCTGTTACTTCATTCGCTTTGAAATGACACACACAGAGCCTTCTCTCCCCCCCCCTCTTCCTAGTTAGCACTCCACATTTTGCCCTGGGGGCACCTCTGGGCACCCTTCCCCAGGCATCAGGTTTACTACTACAGAGCTTGCTTGCTCTCCCTCCCCCCCCCCAAGGATCTGGCCTGGCCTTGACCCCTTTTATCCAGTCTTCCTTCTCCAACCGGACCCACTTTAGATGTTTGGGGCTGCGACAGACCCCCATCGCCCTAGGCAGAGGAGGCCTTCAATGCGGCCCCACGTTTTGGACGAGGAGTCCCATCGGCCTCGGCTGCTGGTCGTCTCGGGGCGTTGCTTGTCCGGTCCGCCCTGTCCGGCGGCCGAGCGGGGGAGCCGGGCTAGCAGCAGCACGAGCCGCGCCCGCAGGTGGGAGCCGGACGGCCTGCCTTGCCCGCTTCCGCCCTCTGCTGGACACTCTGGGGAGTGCAGGGAGCCGCGGGCCTCCCCCGGGCCGGGTCCCCACCTGGGTCGGCTGCTGCACCTTCTTCGCCCCTGCGGCGCCCTCATTGCCCGACGGAGCCAGAGTCCGGATCGGGAGAGCTGGAAAAAGGACTACACCTCCCTTTATGCCCCTGTTTGGGCATTTAAATCATCATTTACCGAGGACACAGGAGAGGTTCTCTGTGGCTGCCTGGAAGACTTTGGAACTCCCTCCTACAGGAGGCCACGCTGGCCCCCGTCTTTTCTGTCCACAGTCAAAGCAGTGCTGCATAAAAAAAAATCCATCTAAAGAGATCATGCTCAAGCAGACAGTCATTGAGGGAAATCTTGCCTGAAGAGAAAGGTCTTTGCCTGCCCGCGGAAGGACAGTAAAGATGGGGCCAGCCTGGCCTCCAGTGGGAGGGAGTTCCAAAGTCTGGGAGCAGCCACAG